CCCCCCCACCGGCACGGGACACTTTCAAGTATTAAAACAAGGCTCTGGCCCTCTCCACCTCCTTTTTCCACCCTCCGTCATAATTCATTGTCATACTCATCCATGTTTTTATGACAACACCACCAACAACAACACAAATTTATGATATCATTGAGGGTATGCATCTTTAGGTAACCTGCTTTCCCACACAATATACTCATCCTAGCCTGCTGTTTTGTTTATTTTTCTGTTTTAATTTTTTTTCATTCATTTTTCCATTTATTTCTTTCTCTAGCCTCTTCTCAGATATCCTTCTTCATCTTTTTTTTCTTCTCTTTTTCTTCTTGGTTTGTCAATTACACGACACACCAGATTGCGACCGAAACAAACACCACTCTTCGACATCCCCGTTTGCATGGAAGCCATGGTTCAACTCATATCATCACCAGTGTCTTCCCAACAAGATCCAGTCAAAGATGCGGTCGGGCAGACACCCACATCGATATCGATAGAGCTAGAGAAGCAGCAGCAGCAGCAGCAGCAGCAGCAACAACAACAACACCAACAACAGCCACCGAAAATGATGTCACGCGAAGAGCATGCTCAGCGTATGCGCGAGCTTAACCGCAAGCGCGGCCTGACAAAGGGTCCTCCCCGTCGCGGCTGGTCCATGACGGAGTACCAGGGGTCGGACAATGCACCGGAGTCGCCCACCATAATGACGATGCCTCTCTTTCCTCCTCCTCCTCCCACCTCCTCCTCCTCCTGCCATCGCACCCATACCGGAATTACCCTCCAGACCTACCACTCCCGTACAGAACAACAGCGGCAGCGGCAGCGGCAGCGGCAGCGGCAGCGGCAGTAGCGGCACCACCACCACCACCACCACCATGGCTACGACCACGACAGCAGGCCAACGAGACCGGCAACATGACCAATTGACGCAGCAGCTCCCCCGTCGTCGACCAAAGGCCCCCCCGCCACGCAGGTCGTACTCGGTGACGGACCACGAGCCCGCCCCACCCAACCAGCCCCGCCCATCGGCGCGGCTCACCATCCTCGACCTCCCCGCCGAGCTCCACTACACCTTCCTCGACTACCTCGACCCCATCGACGCCGTGTGCTTCGGCCTCGCCCACCCCTCCCTGTACGCCATACACAGGCGCAAATACCCCGGCGCCATCTCCCTCGCCAGCCGGTACTCCGGTCCGAACGACATGGAGTGGGCCTGGAGGGGCGCCGGTCCCTTGATCCGCACTTCCTCTTCCTCCTCCCACACTCCTACTCCCACCATGCCCTCTCTCAACCGCACCCTCAAGAAGTCGAGCACGGCGCCTTCCTCCGCCTCGGCGTCATCCACGAGCATCGCCTCCATGGCCTCAAACACCACCTCCTCCGCCGCGACAACCGCTTCCTCCACCGCCTCCTCTCCCGGGAAACCTGCCGCTGCCACCGCCGCTGCCATTGCTCCCCTTCTCACCACCGCTTCTTCCTCCTCCTCCTCCTCTTCTTCCTCTTCTTCTCCTGCTGCTGCTTCTGCTGCCGTGCACGCTGCGCAAGCCACGCAAGCCGTGCAAGCCACGCAAGCCACGCACCTCGCCCGCATGCGCGTCCAAGGCCAGGTGTACTGTCGCAAGTGTGGCGTCTGCCGCTGCGAACTCCACCGTCACCTAAAGGAGTGGTTTCCCGGCCGGGAGTACTGTGAGATCAAGGAGGTGTACGGTGCACCTGCCCCTCCCGACGCGAAGCCCTATTGCTACATGAGCTCTCCTAAGAATCCGACTCGATGTGGGAGGCATGGGGGGAGGAAGGTGAATACTAGTGGCGGTGTTTCCAAGTAGTTTTTCCACCTTTCCTGGGTCTTCTCTTCTCCTTTCCTTTTCATTGTTCAGTATTATATATATATATATATCCCTACTTCGTCGTCTTTATCTATACCACATATTTTCCTGTCCCATCATCTCTGTTATTCAAATCTCGTTTTCATGGTACGACATGTGCAAAAAGGAAGCGTGGCATCGTGAGCGTCTTATACTTATACATTTATCCTGCTGGTTTTAATACATCTGGATTTGTGACATCTGCCAGCACTATCGATACATCAATCGTTTCCGACAGCTTGATATGATCAACCTGGATGATTGTAGTCTTGACACATCTGCACCCCAACATGTAGCTTCAATCATCTGACTTTCAATGTGTTGGAATGTATTCACTGTAATCGATGGAATCGATGACCCGGAAACTCCTCGTAAGAAGACTCCCCCAACTCCCTATCCATGCATGCATGCAAAAACGCCATTCTGGGAATGATGTCCTAGAAAAAGATACAAAGAAGAACTAGTCGGAAAAAAAGACGAAGGAGAGAGGGGGAAAAAAAGAACAGGGAGACAAAGAAACAAAACGCATTATCCCGTCTACCCCAACAACTCCGTATTCGTACACTTGGATAATAATGTACTTTCTGCTGCGACACACGGACACTTTTGCGTTGATGGTGATAGTCGATACAAGAAAATAAAAGAGTAGGTGAGTGATGGAGATTCTTGCTCGGGTTATGATGAAAAAGGGGGGCAAAATATGTTTGGTGAGGATGTGAAGTGTATGGAAGGCTGTGAATCAAAATGGCTCCTGCCATTCGACTTGGACGCATTCACCCCGTGCGTCTATCCAGTCGTCGATTCCGCGAGTAAACCACCCGCTCGTCCACTTGTCCGCGTCCTCTTCCTCATACGAGGGGGACCCCAGCTTGATGCCTGAGGCGGTGCAGCAGGCGCCGTGGTGGTACCTCCACTGGAAACAGGTCCGCTGTTGACGGAACTGGATGCCGCCGTCGTGGTCGTGGATGCGTTCTTCGTACAGCTGGCGGATGTACCGTGCCTTGTCATCGTCGTCGACCAGCGATCGGTACATGGCCTCGTCGACGGCGAGACCCTCGGCCTCGCAGACGCGAGCGCAGGCATCCGGCGACTGGTGGGCTTCCGTCTCGACGACCGTCTTCTCTTCCTCGGGCTTCTGCCTGTAGCGCTCCTCATCCCCCGGGCCTTCCTGCTCCCCGGGGGAGGGTCCCACAAGGCACACCTCGTCGGCGAGATTGTCCCAGTCGCGACGGCGGGTGACGAGGTGGGGTTCCACGAATGCGTGGTAGATGTCTTTGATTTGCGTGACGTCCTGGATCTGTCAGTCCTTCGTCTCTCTCCCGGTGCTTGATGCCCCGTCCGTCTCTTCCGGGGGGGCCCATACCGATTTGTTTGCGCGAGTCTCCTCGTACTGCCACAGCATGCTGATCTCCTCGGCATCGACGTGGTGCATGGAGAGGAGGGGCTGACACCACTGAGACGGTCCAAAGGGTAGAGTATTGGGCTTCTCGCCATTAAACATGGGGTGAGCCTGGAGGACCTTGGTGCCGGCCTCCCGGACGGCAACGGACATGAGGAAATCACCGCAGCACTCCTGGGTTGCGCGCTCGTCATACCTGGCGGCCAGGTCGGGGAGGTCGTTGACCATGCGGCGCATGAGGTCCCCCGACAAGACGTAGCCGCTGCCCCCGTGGGCGAAGGGCATGTCGTTGAGCAGGGCCACGCTACCGATGTAAGACTCTCCGCCAGGTGCGTGGTTGCGCAGCCAGGAGACCATGCCGGGCCAGAAGATGTACGTATCGGACTCGGCAAAGACGTACCACTTCATACCAGGTCTCATCTCCCAGGTGCGCACCGCCATGTTGAGGAACTTGTACTTGTCGAGGTCCCAGCCGCCAATCATGTCGGCGGTGCAGTCCTTCTGCGAGACGGGGCAGCGCTGCTCGGCCTCGTACAGATCGAATTCGGGTTGGGTCTGTCTGATGATCTCATCGACCCGATCGAGGACATTGTAGATGTGGAACTTTCCAATCTGCTGTTCCTGTACGCAGTTGGCAAGGGTCGGTCAGCCAATGGCGAGACTGATAAGTGCTGAAGGGAGTTCTCGTAGCAAACAACGGGACGGCCCGTGCCAGGAAGTGCCGAGAGAGGAAGAGAGACATACCAGATCGGAAAAGATGAGAAAGTCGGGAAGGCAAGACATCGTGGTGAGGAGCTGCGTGGGCAGCCTGTCAAAGGATTCGGTAGCGCCCGTCTTCATGAGGAATAGGATGCCCTCTGTGTCGGGGAAGTCGTGGCAGGCCGAGCTGAAGTTGAACTGAGGCTGGACCTCTTGGCGGGTACCGTCGCCGTACAGGGTGTTGTTGTGGACGTCTCCGGTGGAGGACGAGGTGAAGTAGCCCGAGACATGGTGATAGAACTGGGAAGCCTCTTGGGCGTATGCGTATTCTGACTCTGCATCAGTGCTTAGTTGGTAGAGTGGTACGGCGAGGAGGACGGTGAGGCAGAGGACGAGGGCCACTCTCCAGGCACGAGAAACCATGACGAAGAAGTAGTGTTATTTATCGGAGCATAGGACAAGACGGGAAGCCGGGGGGGAGGATCAGATGGGAGGGAGATTCCAAAATGAATGTTAAGAAGAAAACGAGAGAAAATTTACAATTAACAAAAGAAGAAGATCTGATCACAACAGGGCGGAGAAGAAGAGGAAAAGAGGGAGAAGAAACAATCGAAGAATGAGTAAATTGTGGTGTGACGGGGGAGGAAGGAGGGAGGGCAGCAGCAGTAGCCATCCATATTATGCTGTACAATGGACATCGCTATCCCGTATCAATCACTGTACGTGTAGGGAGTAGGGAGTAGGGAGTACGAGCAGCAACGAACTTCTCAAGGTATCAGGAGTAGGGAGCAGGTGCCAGCGTCGGTGGGTGGGGGATGGCAATGCTTTCCTTTCCGTATGAGTGATACGCAGAAGAAATAAGTCAATAATAAAAGAGAGGAGAAGCATAGGAGATAAAAGGGATCTAAGCCACAGAGTCCATCAACGCACCGGTGGGCCGCTGTTGACGATCGGCATCAGCAGGCTGAGAGAGGGACCCCCGGGTTCTGTTCATTCGACTCGTTACGTTACTGCGGAGGTTGGTTGGCTGTCGGACACACACGGTCAAGAGTACACGTAGAGAGAAGGAGAGAGAGAGGGCTGTTGGCAATTCTACTCTACTTGTAGCCGTCTGAGGCGGCGCGACACCATGTGATGAGGATATCATACATTCATGATGGCATCGACAAAACAACAAAACACAGCCAGATGGGACCCAAAAAAGAACAGTCTAGGGGACATTTTTTGGGGGGGAAACGGCATGTTTCTCTCTTCGTCATGGTGGGGTTGATGACGTCTTCCCCTCCCCACCACCCCTTCCCATGCTCCCGTTTCAGAATTACAACGAGTAAGTAGGGCCTAGATGAAGCATGGATATTGTTATTATAATTCTTATTACAATCGACATGGAAAGAGGGGAAGGGGGGAACTTGATCCCCTTTATTCAACGTATCTCGTATGACGTATGCTGTTCTTTACCGACTGAGACGAGTATGCTGCATCTCTTTTTTTCTTTCTCTTCTCTTCTTTTCCTTTTTCCTTTTTTTTTTTTTTTTGCGTGACAACGCAATCTGTACAACCTGTCAATTCAATTCATCGTGTGTTGTGACTCTTGTCCCACGGAGAGGGAAAAAAAGGGTCGGACTCAGGCAGAGTAATATTTATATTTATTTAGTGGCCGCGTACTACTCCACTCGCACATGGCCATACGGTGATAGACCACTGACAGTCTAGCACAACGGGTTTAAGCGATGRAGGGGGGGGGGGGGGCTGCTACGAGAACTGCAATTGGTCCCACTCTATTCTTCCTACTCGTACTTGAACATCTTTTGTAGGCTATGCCCTCCTTTGCATGCACGTACTCGTGCTTACGACGTGTTGGACGAACGAGTAGTCGGTCCAGGCGTGATATGCAAAGCCGGGAGGCGTAGCCAAGTTTGGCCGGGATCGTCAATCGGAGGCTGAGAGGCTCAGAGCTGGGAGGACGGTGGAGGCTCTACCTGTTTACGGGCATTGTGATGAAGTAATCCATTATCAGATGCAGTGAAGCTTCCACTTCTTCCCGAATCGAGTCCTATCCTCAGGGGAGCCATTGGGCCCGGAGCGACTTGCTGCGGAAGATGGGGGGGGGGGAAGATGTATTTCCCTGCCATCAGCTGAGATGGCCTCCACGATCGTTGTGTTGATGCGGCTGGCTGCTTCGACACCTTCCCTAAGGCGAAATCCTTCTCCTCTGGACCAGCAACAAGGCTAGCAATACCCTGTAGGGTCTCTTGAAATTCCCAGTTCCCAGTCTCGTTCGTATCCCGGCGGTCTGATGGGCTGATAGTCGACATGATCGGGGCCCTCGTGCGCATCAAGAGACTCGGAATACGGCAGTTTTCTGCCCTCTTGATGATCTGTTGAGGGACATAGTGGGCTGTACGGGTGTTCCGTCTATCAGGGACATCTCTGATCGGGCCGGAATAACCCATTCCGGTAGCTTATTTAGCTGTTTTGCTCTGACAGTTGTGCGAGACACGTGATGCACCGTCTATGCTTACTCATGCACGCAGCCGGATATTAATAGCTCGTGGCAGGGTCCAGCCCGGCGTAATAGATGCGCTGTATGCCGTATGCCGTACATGCACTGCTGGCTGCAGAGGAAAGGCAGGCAGCCAAGAGCTCTCACATTACCGCTATTCACTGTACAGCACCGCAGCAGAACTACACGATGCGAGTATAGCTTCTCCCCTCTCTCTTCTCCTTCTTTTTTCCCTGCCTACTCGATACGGAGACCCTGATCACTCTTGTCGCGTTCGAGTAAGATCGATATCGGTAACAGTCCAACCTACTGCACGAACCCGTGCTATGCCTACCCGACTGCCGCCATACAATATGCGACTCTGATTGCATCATTTCGTAGTTCATGCTTGCCATCCCCCGGAGTCCACCCGGTTGATGCTAGCACTGTTGCACACCTCGCATAGCGGGGGTTCTCTTCTGCGTCCCTCTGGTTCCCTCTCTCTTCCTCACTATCTGCGGCCGGTCCCTAGGGGACCATGAGTCAGATGAAGATTTCAAAGGCTTCGGGCTGACATATCTGCCGTACCTGCCTGTATATTAATCAAACTCGTCTCCCCCGCCAGCTCCCACCCATCGCGTCACCGCGACGGAAAAAGAGAACATCAACAACGACGGTCTTTTGATCGGCCTGCGGGGCCAAGGTTTTATTGGAGAACCCCAAAAAAAAGAGAAAAAAAAAAGAAAAAGAAAAGCACACATCATCCTTCTCTCCTTCTTCTCTAAAACAAGCCTTTCTTTATATATATAATCTTCTTCCTCCTTTCTCTCTTTCTTCCTCCTTTTTTTTTTCTTTACAAAGCGCTGGCATGGAGGCAGAAGCAGAGACGATAATACCGGTTGCGGTACCGGCGAGGGGTGATGGTGATGATCTATGCACCGGAGGCGGGGTTGGCATCGTGGATGATCATCTCGGACAGCACCACCTTCAGCATCATGGTGTAGTCGGGGACGTTCAACCACCGCCTTCACCACCATCGGACTGGTCATTGCTATCGAGCGAGACCCCCCCCCTCGCTCTATCCATCGAGGAGGATGGTGCAGCAGCGGCGGCAGCAGCAGCAGCGATATCGGCGGATACCGGAGATACGACTACGACCACGACTCCGACCACCATCGCTACCACGGCGCGGGGTAGCAGCAGCAGTAGCGGTAGCGGCAACTACAAGGATGATCGCGGTGGCATCTCGAAGCTGCAACGACGGAAGAGGAGACGGCCGATGGGGATGGGACTGCGCGTGCTCGAGGCCGAAGCGGCAGCTCTCGTAGCCCTGGCGGCACTGTACAGGGGCGGCGGTGCCGCGGAGGGACAGCAAGAGCAGGAGAGAGAGGGGCAGGGGCGGGATGACGGAGAGTATCGAGAAGACGAGGACGGCGACTCGCCGTCCCGTCAGTTTGACCTGGCCGTCCAGACAATCGTCCGATCTCGACGTCTCGGGGCCAAACTCGTGGTGACTGGCGTCGGCAAGTCGGGCCACATCGGACGCAAGGTGGTAGCCACATGTCAGAGCCTGGGCGTCGCCGCCGTCTTCCTGCACGCCACCGAGGCTCTGCACGGGGACATGGGCATCGTGGGGGCCGACGATACCCTGCTGGTGATAAGTTCCTCCGGGAAGACGATTGAGCTGATTCACCTTCTGGATCATCTGGGTGCGGCGTCATCGTCATCGTCATCATCATCGTCATCATCATCGTCGTCGTCGTCGTCGTCGTCGTCGCCGCCGCTGCCTCTCTCCCTCGTGGTCCTCTCGTCGCAGGCGACGAGGCATGATTGCCAGCTCCTACGATGTTGGGACGGCGACGAGGGAGGAGATCAAGAAGAAGGAGCCGTCAAGAGAGGTATACACCTAGCTGCACCGTTACCGGAGCCGGAAGAGTCGGCGCTGGGGGTTGCGGCGCCGACGATGTCTACCACGGCCGCCCTGGCGCTCGGGGACGCATTGGCCATGGCCGTTGCCGAGGAGCTGCACGGTGGCGGTGGCGGTCGTGGTCATGGTCACGACGGAGGGATGGCGTCTGTGTTTGGACGGAACCATCCGGGGGGGACGATTGGGGAGAGGAAGAAGAAGAAGAAGAAGAAGAAAGTCTGGTAGATTCTGAGACCTGAGTTACGGAGGAGAGGGCTCCAAGGACCATCTTCTCCCTCCTTCTTCTTCCCTTCGTCTTGCTTCTTCTAGCCTGAGACTGATAGACCCTTTCTTCCTCTTTTCTTCTTCTTTTTTTCTCGGACATGGATTAACCATACCATACCATGTCAGTACATGATTGATATACGCTTACAAGTTTTTTTCCTTCCTCTGTCAGTTCTTCTTCTGTCGGTGCTACATGACGGGAATAGCTGAACACAGACATGTAGGCCTTTTCTCTCTCCCTTTTTTTCTTTCTTTCTTTCTTTCTTTCTTTTTTTCCCTCTCCCCTTTCTTCTCTCTTCTATTTTCTTTTTTTCATCTTGACCATTGAGGGTGAGGGAGATGAGACAGGGCACGACTGCATGCGGGGTCCTCCCGTCTTGGGTGTAATACCCTCTCTGTTATCGTGAGAGCTTATCTACCTGATACCGGCAATGAGCATGTCTTTCCCTTAGACAGTGGTGATGACGTACTCTCCCTGCCCGGTGTCCTGCCTTGGTACCAATAGTATTTTATCATCATCATCATTGTATATATATATATATATATATATACATATATATATACATATTACCATCTGTACGGAGCAGAGTACGTGCAGCGAGTAGGTAGCCGTGGATTCGACGCTGGCAACCTCCCGGCACAAGCACGAACATGTCATGGTAACGCGCCCTACAGGTACTGACTGTATATATGTACTGTATCGATATATCATGTATCAGCATCTTACAGTAATCCATGGAGAGAGCAAATGGTCTGTACCGGTATACGGACATGTACTTCGGATGGACACACGGGCAGCAGACAGATAAATACAAGATTACCCGTACATCTGTATCTGTACGGATTACTAGTCCTCGAGCGCGCCCCCTCCCCCCCTGTTGTAGCTGGAAACTCCCCCCACCAGGAGCCACTCTAGGGGTCCCCACCTACTTTTACTTGGTACGAGTATTGATCTGTAATACACAGAGAGAGAGAGAGAGGGAGGGAGAGAGGGAGGGAGAGGGGGAGAGAGGGGAGGGCGAGCCTGACAGCACCTAATCCATCGTGATGATCCGTCCAATGAAATGATGGTGATAATACCTGATTAAGGCGCTCAGACTGACTGAGAGCGGCCTCCAACCAAGAGGGGGTGAGCCTCGGGTTTCAACATCTACTCGTATCGTACGGTATGATAGTACTCCGTGCATATCATATACGTACGCAGGCAGATAGTTTTACACTATTGCTACTCACTACTCATGACTCCGTCCTCTACGCCGACACGCGCAGCGCACTATTCCTGAATATGCGCATCATCACTTCGATGCCATCGCATCTACAGCTCATCGCATCAAACCCTCTCCTTCCCCCGCCATCCATCCTACCACCTTCTTCTTCTTCGTTCTGCTGTCCACCACGCCATCCAAGCGCATTACGATCAGTGGGCTTCAGCTCATCACCGTACGTACCGGTTCTCGCCATGTCTGTACCTACATGTGATGCATGTATACGATACTCGCCGTACTCGGGGTGTCCTACTGCATATACGCACGAGTATCGAGTATCAGCACTCGACCGCAGTATTAGCTGCATCGTACCCTTTCAATATCTCCACTTCTTAGCAGGGGACCCATCTAAACTCTCTTTCTCAGAGATTCGATTTTCTGAGCCTCTCTCTCTCTCTCTATCGCTTCCCTCTTCCTCATTCCTCTTCCTCCGACCCTCTCTCTCTTTCGTCATCTGCTGGTATTGGCCACTGTTACCTTGCACCTGAGCACTAACCGTACTACTGCTGCATGTACTGCATGTTGCTGCATACAGAACTGATACTCTGCCGAGGACAACCCCTAGACAAGAAAAAGAAAAAAAAAAACCCCCCAGCGTTGCACCGCGTTTGACCCGCTACCAGCGTCGACCAGATCGGTCTGTCTTGCAAATCAATTCGTGGCTGACGCTTGCTTTTTGGTTCTATTCTTATTCTCTGATATTATCTTCACTTTTTTTTTTTTCTCTC